AATACATATATAATACATATATATATAATACACCAGTAAACATTTTCTAAAAACTAGCAAAAATCACCGGGTGGTGGTGGTGCACGCCTTTAATTCCAGCACTTGGAAGGCAGAGGCAGGCGGATCTCATGAGTTCGAGGACAGCCTGGTCTACAGAGTGAGTTCTAGGAAAGCCAGGGCTACATAGAGTAACCCTGTCTTGTGGGGAGCGGGGTGGGGGAAAGGCTAAGGCTGAGCATGGTGGTAAAACAACAACAACAACAAAAAAAAAAAACAATAAAAAAGAAAAGCATTAGCAAGAATGTTCGCTCCACACTTGACTGGGAAGCAGAAGTTTGGGAGTAGGATCAAAGCCTTCCAGGGGCTACCCACGGCACCCCACTGGGGTGCAGAGGAGGTGGGCCTGCTGAAGTCACATCACAGGCATGAATTATTTTAATTCACGTGTAAACTTCTATGTGTCTGTCACACGTGCAGACTAGGCAGAAGACAGATCCTGTGGGCTGCAAGTGGGACGTGGGTGCCAGGAACAGGCTCTAACCACACAGATCAGGCTGGCCTTGTGCTCACGCACGTGTGAGCCATCATGTCTTGTTCCCTGCCTTGTTCTTTTCTGAGGCAGAGTCTCTCACTGGCATGGACCAGGCTGATGCCCACAAGCCCTGGGGATCCTCCTGCCCCCACGTCCCATGTTCTGGCATTCCAGCGCAAGCCATCCCGATTGGGACTGTATGTGGGTTCTGGCAGATGAACTCTGTCCTCATGCTTACGCGCTGAGCACTTGGCTGACTGTGTATCTGGGATGCAGAAGCCTGGGGCTCAGGATGTTGGAAATCACAAAGCATGAAAGACTGACTGAGCATCCCTGTTCTGGTTCTGGTATGGGCAGCCTGCTGCTCCAGGCCTTGCATGCAGGAGCCAACTACCCCTTCAAGGCCTGCAGACATGCAGCACCATGCCGAGCTGACTACAGAGAGCTGACCTGCAAGTCCAAATCGCTCCTGCCCCAATTCAGCTTTTCTCATGGAGCTGCCCCAGTAATGGGTCAAGGGTGCCAACCGCTGTGAGCACCCGTGTGGAGGGAGTCCTAAGGGTGCCGACCGCCGTGAGCACCCGTGTGGAGGGAGTCCTAAGGGTGCCGACCGCCGTGAGCACCCGTGTGGAGGGAGTCCTGAACATAGACTACCTGCAGTTTTCCCAGTCCACAGGCTGATCGTGGGGCGAGGAAAAGAAAAGTACAAGAAGTTCCAGGAGCAGAAGCCAGGAGCAAACTCAGTCCAAACACGGGCAGATCAGGACTGACACAGTGACCAGATCCAGAGCCAACGATCTCCACCAGAACAGGTACAGGGAGTAACATAAAGCAAAGAAAGCCAGCCTACAAACCACAATTCCAGAGAACTTAGACAACAATGAGGACACTAAGAGAGACTCACATAGATCTAATCTACTTGGAAAGTAGAAAGTATAAAAGGACAAGATCTCCTGAGTAAATTGGGAGCATGGGGACCTTGGGGAAGGGTTGAAGAATGGAGAGGAGAGGCAGGGAGGGGAGCAGAGAAAAATGTAGAGCTCAATAAAGATCAATAAAAAAAAAAGTACTAGGTAGAGAGTTAGGGGGCAGAAAATCACCTTTAATATTCTGCTTTGGCCAGGGGTATGGATTAGCTATGAAGACCTGCAAAGGATCCCCAATGAGGGTGGATGGGTGGGTGGATGGATGGGTGCTTGGGTGGGTGGGTGGGTGGGTGGATGGATGGATGAATGTTTGTGTGGATGGGTGGGTGGATGGATGAATGTTTGTGTGGATGGGTGGGTGGATGGATGAATGTTTGTGTGGATGGGTGGATGGATGGGTGGATGGATGGATGGGTATATGAATGAATGGATAGATAGATCTGTAGATGAGTGTGTAGGTGGGTGGTGTGGTGGTTTGAATAAAAATGTCCCCTATATAGGGGCTGGAGAGTTGGGTTAGTAGCTAAGAGTGCTGGCTATTCTTTCAGAAGTCCTGTGTTCAATTCCCAGCACCCATACGGTAGCTCACAGCTCCACCTCCAGGGAATCTGACTCCCACACAGATATAACATGCAGGCAAAATACCAATGCACATGAAATAAAGTAAAAATAAATCTTTTTTTTTTAAATGGTCCACATAGGTCCATAGGGAGTAGCACTGTTAGAAGGTGTTGCCTTGTTGGAGTGGGCATGGCTTTGTTGAAGGAACTGTGTCACTTAGGGGGTGGGCTTTGAGGTCTCAGAATCTCAGGCCTGCCTGGTTGTTCACAATTAACTTCAGCTGACTGCAGATGTAGAACTCTCAGGTCCTTCTCTAGCACCATGTCTGTCTGCATGCTTCCATGCCTCCCACCATGACCACAATGGAGTGAACCTCTGAAATTGTGAACCATCCCTAATTAAATGTTTCCCTTTATAAAAGTTGCCATGGTCCTGGCATCTCTTTACAGCAATAGAAACCCTAACTATGATTGGTGGGTAGATGGATGGTGGGTGAATGAATGGGCGGATGGAGAGATGATGTGTGGGTAGATGGATGGGTGGGTGGGTGTATGGAATTTTGATTGGGTAGGAGGATAGATGGGTAAATGGGTGGATAAATGGGTTGGTTAATGGGTGGGTGGGTAGATGGATGGTTGACGGATAATTGGTGGGTAGGTGGGTATGTGGATGGATGGTTAGCTGGTTAGCTGGCAGATGACGAGATGCACAAGCGGTTCCCGAATGGGCAGACGAGTGGAAAAATCAGGGTATCTCAGACTACCCGCCTAGCAGGCCATGTCCTCCAAACATTTGGGACACAGACACAGGAGGGTGAGAAATTCAAGACAATCTTGGCTATGTGAGGCCCTATCTCAAACCAAGAAAGTAATAAACAAACTTAAAAATCCCAAAGAGCTGTGACCGCCATATCCCCCACACCCTCATCTCTGCTCCCAAGTCTCTGAGAGCTCCATCCACATACTACGCTGTACTCACCTTTTTGTCTTTAACCACGAGTATCCCCACCTGAGACAGGGAATTGAGGTAGAATATGCCTCCTAATGTTCCCGTAAACCTTTTCTGTGGAACAAACAAACGGTGTGTGTGAATGAGATTTGGTGATAGTAACACATTCATCATTTGAGACATTAAGCCCTGATATAATCTACATCATTTGCCTAGCTCAGGACAGCAAATCTGCCTCTGGGACAGAGCAGCCACAGCAGAGGGTCAAGGACAACAGCTGTCTTCTATGAGGACAGGGTGTGACACCAGTCACATGACAACCCAGTTCTGTGGTTCACATCTCCCTGCTTCTTCGGCCCCACATTTTTTTAAATTGATATTTATTGAGCTCTACATTTTTCCCCTCCCTGCCTTCAGTCATCCCCCAAGGTCCCCATGCTCCCAATTTACTCAGGAGATCTTGTCTTTTTATACTTTCTACTTTCCAAGTAGATTAGATCTATGTAAGTCTCTCTTAGTCCTCACTGTTATCTAAGTTCCCTGGAATTGTGGTTTGTAGGCTGGCTTTCTTTGCTTTATGTTTAAAAACCACCTATGAGTGAGTACATGTGATAATTGTCTCTCTGGGTCTGGGTTACCTCACTCAAAATAATGTTTTCTAGCTCCATCCATTTTCCTGCCAAATTCAAACTGTCGTTATTTTTTTCTGCTGTGTAGTACTCCATTGTGTAAATGTACTACATTTTCCTTATCCATTCTAAATGCCCCATGTCGAGGGGCATTTAGGTTGTTTCCAGGTTCTGGCTATGACAAACAAAGCTGCTGTGAACATAGGTGAACACATGTCCTTGTGGCACGATTGAGCATCCTTTGGATAGATACCCAGAAGTGGTATAATTAGGTCTTGAAGAAGGTTGTTTCCTAATTTTCTGAGAAATCGCCACACTGACATACAAAGGGGTTGTACCAGCTTGCATTCCCACCAGCAATGCAGAAGTGTTCCCTTTTTCCCTACAACCTCTCCAGCATAAGTTGTCATCAGTGCTTTTGATCTTGGCCATTTTTACAGGTGTAAGATGGCATCTCAGAGTTGTTTTGATTTGCATTTCTCTGATGACTAAGGATGTTGAATATTTCCTTAAGTGTCTTTCAGCCATTTTAGATTCCTCAGTTGAGAGTTCTCTGTTTAGATCTGTACTCCATTTTTTAATTGGATTATGTGATCTATTGGTGTCCAATTTCTTGAGTTCTTTGTATATTTTGGAGATCAGACCTCCATCTGATGTGGGGTTAGTGAAGATCTTTTCCCATTCTGTAGGTTGTCATTTTGTCTTGTTGACCGTGTCCTTTGCTTTACAGAAGCTTTTCAGTTTCAGGAGGTCCCATTTATTAATTATTTCTCTCAATGTCTGTGCTGCTGGGGTTCTATTTAGGAAGTGGTTTCCTGTGCCAATGCATTCAAGTGTACTTCCCACTTTCTCTTCTATAAGGTTCAGTGTGGCTGGCCTTATGTTGAGGTCTTTGATCCATTTGGACTTGAGTTTTGTGCATGTTGATAGATATGGGTCTATTTTCAATTTTCTACATGTTGATATCCAGTTATACCAGCACCACTTCTTAAATATGCTTTTTTTTCCACTTGATATTTTTTGCTTCTTTATCAAAGATCAGGTGTTCAAAGATGTGTGGATTGATATCTGGGTCTTCTACTTGGTTCCATTGGTCCTCCTGTCTGTTCTTATGCCAGTACCAGGCTGTTTTCAGTACTGCAGCTCTGTAGTAGAGTTTGAAGTCAGGTATTGTGATGCCTCCAGAAGTTCTTTTATTGTACAGGATTGTTTTGGCTATCCTGGGTGTTTTGCTTTTCCAACTGAAGTTGAGTACCGTTCTTTCGAGGTCTTTGAAGAGTTTTGCTGGGATTATGATGGGCATTGCGTTGAATCTGTCAGACCCACATCTTCTAAGATACATGTTTTAGATTTACTTATATGTTTTATGTGTATGAGTGCTCTCTGCATGTATCCCTGAAGGCCAGAAGAGGGCACCAGATCTCCTAACAGACAGTTGTGAGCCACCAAGTGCGTGGTGAGAATTGAACTCAGGATCTCTGGAAGAACAACCAGTGCTCTTAACCTCTGAGACATCTCTCCAGCCTGATGCAGATATTTTTATTTATTATTTATTTACTTTTGGTTTTTTGAGACAGAGTTTCTCTGTGGCTTTGGAGCCTGTCCTGGAACTAGCTCTGTAGACCAGGCTGGTCTCGAACTCACAGAGATCTGCCTGCCTCTGCCTCCCGAGTGCTGGGATTAAAGGCGTGCGCCACTATTGCCCGGCTTGGTGCAGATATTTTTAAAAGATTTACTTTTTCGTTTTTAATTATGTGTGTGTATCTATGTGTGAGGGGGTGCAGATGCCGCTGGAGACCAGAAGAGGGGTTCTGGTCCTTTGGGGCTGGAGTTGTGTCTGTTTGGGAGCTGCCTGATAAAGGCAGCAGGAACTAAACTCAGGTTCTCTGCAGCAACAGCCAGAGTGCTGAGCCAGGGAGCTATCTTTCCAGGCACGGGTTTTGACTGGACAGAAGGTATCCAATGCTTGAAGCTGGGGCTCGGTAGCCTTACAAGCTCAAAATCGTGGGTTCCATGCCCAGCATCCCATAAACCAAGTTGTGGGGGGCTGGCATATCACCTCAACACTTAGGAGGTGGAGGATCAAGACTTCGTAGTCTGAGGTGACACAATATTATGAAATTATCTCTGGACCCCCTCCCCAAAACTGAACTTTTGCTGGACCTCACAGCCAAGCTCATAACACACACTGAAGTTCCTTAAAACTTAAGGAATTTAAGTGCTTAGTCGTGCACCCCTTTAATCCCAGCACTCAGGAGGCAGAGGCAGGTGCATTTTTGAGTTTGAGGCCAAACTCGGCTACAGAGGGAGTTCTAGGACAGCCAGGGTTATGCGGAGTAAACTTGTCTCAAAAATTCAAGAACAACAACGAGAAGAATTAAGACTGCTGTCCTCCCATGTGCTCGGCCTGTCTGTCCAACCTGCCTTTAAGAGATCCACGTAAAGCCAGCTTTGCTGTGCTCAGGGCTCCCATGTGTGGTAGCTGTGTAGCTGCATTCTTTTTTCTTTCCTTTCCTTTCTTTCCTTTCTTTCCTTTCTTTCCTTTCTTTCCTTTCTTTCCTTTCCTTTCCTTTCCTTTCCTTTCCCTTTCTTTCTTTCTTTCTTTCTTTCTTTCTTTCTTTCTTTCTTTCTTTCTTTCTTTCTTTCTTTTTCGTGGTACGTCCACACTAAAAACATGCTCCACCATGCCCAGCCATAGCTACAATCTTAAATCGTGTACTCTTCCATGCCCCTGACATAGGGTAATGTCATCAGGTCAGAAGCAACCCTGACAACAGATAGCCACAGAAGTCAGAGTGGCCTTTGCACAGTGCTTGGGAATGCTCGTGTGTGGAAGAGCCCCTGGGGTCAGGAAATGACGGCTTGCCTGTAAAGCCTGTCAGAGATCTCTGTAAAGAATCCTTTGCCCACTGGCAAGCATCTTCGTCTGAGGTGATACAGTATTGTCAGCGTGCTGCAGATCACTGTCAGTCCCAGCATTTAGGAGATGAAAGCAGGCAGAACTCTGAATTTGAGGCTAGTCTGGGCTACACAGTGAGAGCCTGTCTTTAAAACAAGCCCAGAACCTGAGCAAACCTTTCCCCTTCCCCAGGTTGCTTTCTGTACTGTTCAATAAATACCGAGCAAAATCCTTTTTAAGGATTTAAGATTTTGAATGACGTGGGGACAGTCATTCAAGCAGGCATAGGCACAACAGGCAGACTACAGATAGACTAGTAACCACAGGCTAGACCAACAGATACACAGGGAGAGAAGGGGAGCGTTGCAATTTGGGCTCACTGATGGACAAACAAACCCCAGAGGACTGCTGTGCTTTCCTTCCTTGGTGGACGCCAGGCATTTCGGTGCCTCTGAGGCCATTTTAGGCTACACGAGACCCTGTGTTAAAAAACAATTAAAGCTGGGCAGTGGTGGCACGCACCTTTAGTCCCAGCAACTCAGGAGGCAGAAGCAGGCGGATCTCTGAGAGTTCGACACCAGCTTGGTTTGCAGCGTGATTTCCTGCTCAGTTAGGACTGTTACACAGAGAAGCCCTATCTCAAACAAACAAACACCCAATGAAAAGTACGGTCTCGGTTTGATTAACCTGGTGGAGTGCCACCCTTGTGTCAGGATTCCCAAATACATCTGTTACATCCTTGTCTCTTTGACGAAGGACCTGATTTTAGCTAACAATCTACTGTAATGCAGGGAGTTTGGGGGCAGGCAGATGAAGTCCATCAAAAGAATTCAACACAGGTTGGGCAGAGGCGGTCCCCAACCGCGACCCCCATCCAGGTGGGGCAGAGGTGGTCCCCAACTGCGACCCCCAAGGGGATAATGATACCCCAGGGGCACTCTAGCTAGAGATCAGGTTACAGCCTGCCTCTTGGTGGGTCTCTGCAAGGCTGCCTTTAAGTCAGTAAACTGTGAAAAACTTTAGGAAATAGTTGAGGACAGACAGGAAAATCCGTCTCAGTTCCTAGAATGCCCCACAGGGGCCCTCTTATACTACACTAATCTAGACACTAATCTAGAAGGAAAGACACTTAAAATAATGAAAGGTAAAAGCCCAGAGGCAAAATGGAGTTAAAGAGAAAGGGGATAGGTTGAGTTAGAAAAGCGGGCTAGAAACAACCAAGCCAAGATTGGGCATTCATAAGTAAGAATATGTCTCTATGTATTTATTTGAGAGCTTGGTGGCGGGTCCCCAAAGAGTAAAAACAAACAAACAAGACCTTGGGGAACACATCACAACTCAAATCACAGCAGTCTCACAGAAAGGTTCGAGGCCTTCACATGCTTCCGCTCTCCTGTCCTGTACCTCACTCACTTCTTAACAGAGGGCAGCCGTCCGGCGTCAGAGGGCAGCCGTCCTGGCATTACCAGGCATCAGAGGACAGCCATCTTGGCAGTAGAGCCAGCAGGTACCTTGAACTGAGACTTTCCAGCCTCCAGAATCATGAGATATGAGTTTCTGTTCTGTGTTTCTTAGCCTTTTGTGGGCTCTGTTTCTCATCTGTCATCCACTCCCAGGTGTGTTGTTATAGCAACCATAGACTCTAAGACAGGTACCTCTTGGGGTCCTGATGGACACAGCTTTTGTTTCTGTCTTTTTCCTAATGTATGGGTGTTTTACCTGCATGCGTGTCTGCAGCACGGATTATAATTGACCTTAATAATAAAAACCTAGAGTCAGATATCAGGGTAAATGCTGGAAGATCAGAGAGACAAACAAGCTGCAGACAGACCGTACCTCGCCAACTGCTCACCCAAAAAGGGCCAAGCCCCTGTCTCCACCCTGCCTTCCCACTTCCTCTCTGCCCGGCCATATCTCTTCCTGTTTCTTCCTCCTGTGCTGGGATCAAGAGTGTATGCCACCACTGCCTGGCCTCCATGTTTAACTAGTGGCTAGCTCTGCCCTCTGATCTTCAGGCAAACTTTATTTGTTAGATCATAAATAAAATATCACCACAGCACACCAAATGCCCAATACTGGTGGAAGTCAGAAGAGGGTGGCGGATCTCCTGGGACTGGAGGATTGATGGATATGAGCCCTCTGTGGGTGCTGGAAATTGAACCTGTTCTCTGGAAGAACAGCCAGTGTACGTGTGTGTGTATGTGTGTGTGTGTCTGTCTGTCTGTCTTTAAACCCTGACTTGGAGTCCTCCTATATTTCTTGCCTGGTCCCAGGCTCACGCAGTCAGGTAATCCTCCTGCCGCGCATGCTGCAGTGGCTATGACTACAGGTGCTTCATGCCCAAGCCTGTTCATTTTTGTTTCTGTTTTTTTTGTTTTTGTTTTTATTTTGAGATAGGGTTTCTCTGTGTAGCTCTAGCTGTCCTGGAACTCGCTCTGTAAACCAACTCACAGAGATTCATCCGCCTGCCTCTGCCTCCCGAGTGCTGGGATGAAGGCGTGCGCCACTGTCCACTGGGAAGCCTGTCAGTTTTTAGTCATCATGTATCAATTACACTCAGCCTTTTCCTCCATGTCCACGCTACTCTTTATGTCCCCATCACCCTCTCTTGTCCCCTCCCAGTGATCACCATCCTCTTTCCAACTTCACACTTCTGGTTTAGGTGACTTCCTCAGTCTGGGTCTCCGCTGCTCTGGTGAACAGTATGACCAAAAGCAGCCCAGGAGAGGAGAGGAGAGGAGAGGAGAGGAGAGGAGAGGAGAGGAGAGGAGAGGAGAGGAGAGGAGAGGAGAGGAGAGGAGAGGAGAGGAGAGGAGAGGAGAGGGCTTAGCTCACTGGATAGTGGCTGCTCCTCACAGCTCACGCAGCTGCCTGGGGCAGCACTGGCCAGAGCTCAGAGACCTTCGGCATCTATGGCATCAATCGTCATGCAAGAAAACACCTCACAGGCTCATCGGGCAGAGGGTTTTCTCAATGGTGGCTTCTTCCCAGGTGACTCTAGGCTGTGCCAGGTGATCCAATGAGTTCCATCGGGACGGCCTGCAGGAGTGTGACTTACAGGAGCCACTGACTATGGCCACAGTACCGAAGCAGGTGACCCTCCTTGTCCTCAGCATTAATCACCCACGGAACCAGGAGGGTGGGGCCTCCCAGAGCCACCTCCACTTCAGGCTTTTGACTCCCTTTCCCCAGCCACTTACCAGAATGTCACTGTTCATGTCCTGGAACGAGAATCCTCCGTTGTCAGAGAAGTATATTTCGGTCTCAGGCAGCGAGCCGCCACGGGAATACACAAAAATCCTATTTGCTAGTTCCTGGGGGGGGAAGGAACACACGGAAGACGTCACAAGAATGCTCAATGCTCATTGGGTGGAGGGCCTGCCAAGAGCGCAGGAGGCCCCGGCTGCTATCCCTAGCACCACAGAAACCCAGTTGCTGGCATATGCCCACATCTTGAAGCTTGGGAAGAAGGCCAGGAATTCTAGGTCATACCCTTGGCCATACCCGAGGATGACTTCCACTGACCTATCCTCAGGCATCCAATCCAAAAACGGGACAACTTTGAGCTTACATGGGAACCTATATACAAGGACTCACAGGGGCCTTCTGCTCCCACCCCCCACAGAGACGCGGTCTCACCACTTGGGTTACTGTATGCCGCCCTAGTGTGGTCACATGACTGAGGCAGAATCGCGGTCTCACCACTTGGGTTACCACTTGGGTTACCTATGCACCCCATAGCTAGTAGGGTCATGTGACTGAGGCAAAGACGTGGTCTCACCACTTGGGTTACCCTACGCACCCCATTTAGCTAGTGGGGTCACGTGACTGAGGCAGAGTGCTGGGCACAATGTTGCTTTTAACAGTCAAAAGGGGAAACAACCAAATTACTCAGCACTTAGAGGGGTGTGGGACCGACGCCCACCCAGAACTGAGCGGGTCTCTGATGCAGACGAGAGCTGCAAGGCTGTTCTGCCATGCTCACATTCAGTGCCCCCAGGTTCATCTGTCTCAACACTTGGTCCCCAATTGTCGGACCTGCTCGGGAAGGGTCAGGAGGTATGGTCTTTGTGGAAGAGGTATGGCATAGGGGTGGGCTTTGAGGCCACAGCAGGCACGGTTAGCTTTCTCTCTTTCTCTTCCTCCCTCCCTCTCCCTCCCTCTCCCTCTCCTGCCTGTTGATAAGGAGCTCTCACCTTCCGCTCCAGCACCGTGCCTGCCCGCCGCCATGCTCCCACCCTGACGGTCTTGGACTCACCCTCTGAACGTGTGAACCCCAACAAACTCTTCTGTAAATGCCTTGGCCGTGGTATCTCATGCCAACAATAGGACAGTAACTGCTGTGGCATATTCCTCTACACTCTGTGAATATATGTCACTATGATTGGTTAAATAAAGAAGCCGACTGGCCCAAAGCTGGACAGGATAAGGTTAGGAGGGAGAACCAGACTAAGGGCTCCAGGAAAAGGGGCGGAGTCGGGAGTCACCAGCCACAGAGAGGAAACAGGAGGTGCAGGATGCGAAGCTGTGCCGCCACGTGGCGGTGTAGCTGGATATAAATGGGTTAATTTAAGTTGTAAGAGTTAGCTAGTAACTGAAGGGTTTAAACTCTCCCGCTTTTACACCTGAATTTAGGGTTCAGTTCTCTGAGAGGGACAAACAGGCATCTCTTCCAACAAAGCGCCATTTATCAACAGATTATATTCAGGGTCAAGGGGGCGCCACAGTGTCCCAAGAACAAGTCCTAGGCCCCCTCTTCTGGGTCATGTCCAGACTTGCTCACGCTTGTGCCCAAAGATAAAACCTCAGCCTCTGAGGAGCGCACTGGTACAGCTGATGCTTAACCAGCCGCGTTTCAGGTGACCTCATCCCCAGGGTCGGCGCCACTCCCTGCAGGTGAATGACCTCATACACGCAGGCTCACTAAATAGACGCAACTTGCTAATCTCGTGTGTGAATGGTGGCTTTGTATGGGAACACTCACAGACCCAACAGTCCCAAGCTTGAGCCATTGCTGAGCATTTATAGAATTAATATGAAGTCTCTGGGTCGGTTATTTGGAACTGGCGGGCGGAAAAGAAAAGTCCGCCTACAAACTATGACAAATTGTTAAAACAATGAAGTTACAGAGACAGGTGATCTCCAGGAGGCCGAGTGTGCCTATCAGCGGGTAGAATGGAGGACAGTTCTGTGGGGATGGACATTTCTGGACAATAGCTCCCTCTGCATAGGTCACTGAAGCATCCAAGAATAAGAAAATAAAAATATAGATTCCAAAAATAAGAATGTGGAGGAGAATGGGAACAGACTGTCAGCAGCTTTCTCAGCAGATCACGGATCATTCGTTCACAGTGAGTTGTTTTCTCAGGTGTCTGGGAAGCGTAGGTCATTTTACAACTGGCTGTTTTATTTACAAGGCCAGAGCTCCTCCCTACAAATTGAGAGTGGTGTCCTGGCCATCCCCGATAAGCAACAGATGTGAACGGAGTTAACCTTTAGGAGACCGAGATATGTGACCTTTGGGTCAGACACTGTCTCTGTTATGGACAGCTGGCGCCAGAACAGAATATCTGTGGGTTGCATCTGGTCATGAGAAAACATTCAGCCCCCTAGGGTACCTTATCAAAACTGTCGGATTGCTATGCTCCCCCATGCTGTCCCCAGGATGACCCAAGCCCGCCATTTAAAGGACCAATGAAATTGCTGTTGCTAGGCTCCCCCATCATGTAACCTGTAAAATCCTATAAATGCGGGTTGGAGAGCTTGCTCGGGGTGCTCAGCTGGCAGGAGCTGCTGGGTCACCCACAAGCACTTGTGAGCAATAAAGAAGCCTCTTGCTGATTGCATCCACTGGCCTGGTTTATTGAGTCTGGGGGTATCTCCAAACGCCCTTGAAACCAAGGGTCTTTCAGTCACAGAGTAGGTGTCCCCCACCCCACAAATGACAGTGCTATTAACAGTGGCCTAAGATGGCAGCCCAGGCCCAAACCAGGGCAGATTCCTACCAGATAAACAGAAACTTAAAGTCAGCATTCCTCAGGAATCCCGGATTCAAGTTTTTGTCAGGATAGCATCACTTTCCCATCCCCCACTGTCCACTGCCACACTGACAGACTGTGTCTGGGTCCTGGTTAACCCAAACCACCTTCGTCAGCTCAGAGACCCACACGCAGTGGGCTCTCACAGAATCCCCACACGAATCCCTGTCCAGTCCCGCTGTTCACTTTCCTGGGGCCATGCTCTGGTTCCAGGGTTTCACTGTGCCTCCCTTACACGCTTTCTCCATGATTTACTTTCGGGGGACTCAGTGATCTCCCCTCCCAAGTAAACCACAGTCTAAAAATATTAAAGGTAAAATCCAGCAGTGAGTTATAAGAAATAGTGTTAGGTGTGTTGTGAGCTCCCCACAGAGTTTTGGCCTCCGCAGCTGTAGTACCGACTGGACCTCTCAGCCCGCCCCTGAGCTGAATCACCACAGGCAGTCTGTCATGGGACTGTGCCACTCCTCGGAAAGGGAGATATTTTGAGCCACGGGACACAAGGGTTTGTGTCCTGATACAGTGGGATGGGTACTCAGGAAGGGCCCTCCCTGAAAACCCACCTTGTGAGAAACTCACCGGCAAGGAAAGGGTGTCAGGACATCAAAACCCTTGTCTTACTGTCAGTGGAAGTTTCTGTCCTGCCTGCTAGTTCCCAAATAACCACACTGAGGCTTATTAAATATAAAAGCTTGGAGGCTCATTACTAACTAGCTCTTACAACTTAAATTAACCCGTTTATATTCATCTATGTATCGCCACATGGCCCGTCTTGTCTTGATCCCTTGTCCCCTGGAGACTTCTCTCACTCCACCCTTCTTCTTCCCAGAATCCTTGGTTTGGCTGTCTTGCTAATGCCAGTTCGTTCTTTATTAACCAATGAGAGTAATACACATTCACAGTGTTCCGAAGGGCTATCCCACAGTATGGCACACCACGTTGGCAGCTCCGTTTGCCTCTTCTCTAGGCTGATGCCAGACTTTGCAAGGTTCAAATAAAATCAATTGCTTCGCCTGCCCAGTGCTCTCGACACGACCTCGGGATCATCATTTCCGATGTAAACGAGCCTTCGGCTTCCCACTACATCCTGTGCTAAGCTGCCCCGTGCACCTGACTGCACTCCTTCCCACGGTTTCCACCCGGTATGAACCTGCTCTCAGGAGTCTCTAATGCCGGCTTCACTGGTATGGTTCCTGTGATCCTGACCACAGGCTGTGATCATGCCTGTTTGCCCGCTCTCTCTCTCTCTCTCTCTCTCTCTCTCTCTCTCTCTCTCTCTCTCTCTCTTGCTCATACATTGCTCTCTCTCTCTCTCATACATTGTGAAGGTTGAAGGCAGCTCCATGAAGGTGATTCTCTTCTCCCACCTTGATGTGGTTTCTGGGAACCAAGCTCAGGTGTCAGTCTTGGGTAGCACCTTTAAGCACTGAAACATTTGGCTGGTCTTTGCTCTTGGTTTTTGTTTTGTTGGTTTGTTTTTTCTTTTATTTGTTTAATTTATTTTTGAGGTTCTCACTGTTTGCCAAGATTAGTCAGTCTCAAAGTCATGGCTATCCTCCTGCCTCAGCTTTCTGAGTACTGAGATTGCAGGAGTGGGGCACCAACCCTAGTTTCAATTAACTTTTTAAAAAATTGTTTTTGAGTCAGGCAGTGATGGCACACACCTTTAGTCCCAGCACTCAGGAGGCAGAGGCAGGCAGATCTCTGTGAGTTCAAGGCAAACCTGGTCTAAGAGAGAGTTCCAGAACAACCAGGGGCATACAGAGAAACCTTTTCTCAAATAAATAAACAAATAAACAAACAAACAAAAAGTTAAAAAGTGTGTGTATGACTTTTTAAAAGTTATTGGGTAAGAGAGCCTACAGGCGTGCACACTGCCACCCCTTGAAGCTGTTGGGTATTGCATAAAAGCCTCATGCCAGATGTGGGGGCTTCCACATGAGCCATTGCTTGGGGAGGCCCTGAGGCACCAAACAATACAGGCTTCTTGGTCATCTGCTGGACCTAGCTGGTGTGATCTTATTGCAAAAGATAGTCACAGATAGAGAACAAATGAACGGGAAGCTTCCTTCCTGCTGGCGGCTTTCACTGCCAGGAAGCGCTAGGCGGGTGCGGTGGGAGAATAAAGCATCAGAGGGCTTGCCCAGGTACACCATGCCACCCCCACCTGTGAGAGACCCTCAGGGCAGGAGGAGAGACTCCAAGCCTGAACTTCTAAGTCTGCAGGAAACTCTGGGTCACAAGCCTGTGGGACCCCAATACTATCCTTTAGCTCCACTGACAACATCCAAACATATGTTTCTATCAAAGCCAAATAAACACTGTTCTCAGGCAGCCATTTACAGAGGGCACCAGGTGCTGAGAACAAGGGGCAGGACACTCACACCACCCCCTCCAGGCACAGCAGGGCAGCGGGATGGGGAAGCTGAAAGATCAGCTGAAGGGGCTGGAAAGACCACCTTCCAGGATGACAGCCACTGCAGTGTGGACCTGAGATGGGGCTTGAGCCATCCTGCCTAGTGTTGACCACCAGCTGGGTGCTAAGAGACAATCATTCTCTCTCTCTCTCTCTCTCTCTCTCTCTCTCTCTCTCTCTCTCTCTCTCTCTCTCTCTCTCTCTCTCTCTTTCTTTCTCTCCCAGTCCTTGATAGTTCTAGGTAGCCCCGACTAGTCTAGACCTTACTATGAACACCAGAGCAGCCTGGACCTCACAGCTCACATCTGCCTGCCTCCAGCCCCCAGACTTACCTGTCTATTACACAAACAAAACCTGTCGGGCAGTGTAAGGGAGTGCTCAGGTCATGCTTGTCCTCCTAGCTCCTTAGAGGTGGAGACAGGAGGATCAGGAGTTGAAAGTCATATTTGGCCTGGGTTATACGAGACCCTTCCTCAAAAACCAAGAAAGCATCCCAACACACAACAATAAAGGAAGATGCACTTTCAGCCGGGTTGACTGGTCAATCCCAAGGGAGGTTACCTCATGGTCCAGCCTTCCTCTGAGTATGGGTAAGTGACACTACCTATGGCTACCTCTACTTATGGGTTCCTAAGTCTTCTGAGAGTCTACTTATGGGTTCCTAAGTCATTTCTAAGTATTTGTACTTAGGCTCGAATGTTCTATTTAAATGAAAGATTCAACTTACCAGGCAAAATCTGGTATTATAACAACAACTGTCGCCACTAATATGTGAGACAGGAGTTTTTACACCTGAAAGGAAGATAAAGTTAAGAGAGTTACATTGTAAATATGTGTGTGTGTGTGTGTGTGTGTGTGTGTGTGCGCGCGCGCAGTGTAGGTGCCTGAAGTGGCCAGGAGAGGACATTGTTCCCTGGAGGTGGAGCCATAGGCAGCTGTGATTTTTCTTTCTGTGTTTGAGACAGGATCTCATCAACCTACAACTGACTAGCCATCCCTGGTTGATATGCAAATTCTGAAACTTCCTGCTTTCACATCCCAAATGCTGGGCTGAGAGTCCTGCACCAACACACCTGGCTGCATATTTTGAATTCTCCAAAGTTAAGTGTTAGGCCAGGCATGGTAGCACCTGCCTGCTAGTTTACGACTTAAGGCTGAGGCAGGAGGATTGTGAATCTGAGGCCAGCCTGCCCTATGGAGTTAGGTCCTTCTCAGAAAAACACAGGGGCTGGAAAGATGACTCAGTGGTTAGAGAACCACAGCTCTCACAGAAGAGACCCTTTCGGAAGCTCATAGATTTCTGTGACTCCAGTTCCAGGGGACCCTGAAGTTGGAGTTTTCCTTTGGCTACCAACCAGCCCCCCAAAAAGACATGGAGACTTATTATTAATTATGAATGCTCGGCCTTAGCTTAGGTTTGTCCACTAGCTCTTATAACTTAATTTAACCTGCTTTGCCTCAGGACTTTTTACCTTTCCTTCATTCTGGGTCTCCTACTTCCCTGCTTCCTCCATGTCTGACTGGCTTGCCCCTAGCATCTCCCTGATGTCTCTCTTCTATCTTCAGCCTAAATTCTTCCTCCTCGTCCTTACTCTCCCTGCCTGGAAGTCTCACTTATACCTCCCTTGCTATTGGCCATTTGGCTTTTTATTAGACCAGTCAGGTGCCTTAGGCAGGCAAGGTAAGACAGAGAACACATCTTTAAAAATTAAACAAATGGGGGCTGGAGAGATGGCTCAGCAGTTAAGAACTCCTGTTCTTCCAAAGGTCCTGAGTTCAATTCCCAGCAACCACATGGTGGCTCACAACCACCTGAAATAAGATCTGGTGCCCTCTTCTGGCCTGCAGGCAGACACACAGATAGAATACTGTATACATAATAAATAAATAAATATAAAAAATTTTAAACAAATGCAGCAAACACTGATACAATACAGTAAAAAGGAAAAAGCCCACCAAACTTTGGAATGGGGCTGCGGCTCAGGGCAGAGGTCCTACATAGCATGCACAGGCCACAGGTTCCACCTCGGCACAACATAAACCATACATGGTGGCGCCATTCCTACCACCCCAGCACCACAGAGATGGGGTCGGGGACCAACTCAAGGTCATTCTGGCTATTTAACTGGGTAAGGCCTGTCTGTGCTGCACGAGTCCCTGTCTCTAAAACAAAACCAGACTGCTAGGACAGAGAGAACCTGAGGAAACAAGGAGCAGAATTCAGGAGCAAAAGCCAGGAGCCAACCCAGTCCTGGGACACTGACGGATCAGGATTGCGCCAATGACCTGACTCAGAGTCTGCGATCTCCACCACACAGGTCCAACTCCAAGCCTGGAACTTCTGCAGGAGGATATCCAGACCAAGATTTACAGAAACAGATCAAAGCCAGCAGCCTAGGCCAAAGTAGGCCTGAGACAGCAAACTCCAAAGGAACAGAGCCAAGCACAGGAGCACTGAGCTATCTGCAGGAACAGGAGTAACCAACGGAGTAACTAGAACTGTGGCACTGACTGTACCATGAGGAACAATCATCTGAGCTTTGGATTCACTGGCACCTAGAAGATTGTTCAACAGAATCTCAGTCAGCCCCAACCACACCTATTAGAGAAAAAGATGAGTAGAAAAGGTAACATCACACGCTACACCACAAAGAAGAACACAATACCAGTAGAACCTAAAGACCCTACAAAAGTAAGACCTAAACAACCAAATATGGATGAACCAGAAGAAAATGATCTAAAAAATAAACTCAAGAGAATGTTTGAAATTCTTAAAGATGAAATGAGAAATTACCTGAAAGAAATGGAGGAAAAAAACAAACAAAAACTGAAAGATATCATCAAATCACTTAAGGAAAACCAAGAAAAAGAACTCAAACATATAAAAGAAACTATTCATGACTTGAAAACTGAGATAGAAACAATAAAGAAAACACAAGCCGAAGGAATTATAGAAACAAAAATCATGAGAAAAAGATCAGAAACCACAAATGCAACATGAACAACAAAATACAAGAGATGGAAGAGAGAATCTCAAGCGCTGAAGATACAATAGAGGAAATAGACTCATCAGTTAAAGAAAACATTAAATCTAACAAAAGCTTCACCCAAAATATCCATGAAATATGGGACACCATGAAAAGGCCAAATCTTAGAATAATAGGTATAGAAGAGGAGAAGAAAGAAGTTCAACTCAAAGACACAGAAAGTTTATTTAACAAAATCACAGAAGAAAACTTTCCTTACCTAAAGAAAGATATGCCTATGAAGACACAAGAAGCTTACAGAACACCAAACAGACTGGACCCAAAAAAAGTCCTCTTACCACATAATAATCAAAACACTAAACATACAGAGTAAAGAAAGAATATTAAGAGCTGCAAAGGAAGAAGGCCAAGTAACACATAAAGGTAGACCTATCAGAATTACACCTGACTTCTCAGTGGAGACAATGAAAGCCAGAAGGTCATGGTCAAGCACTAAGCAGACATTAAGAGACGACAGCTGCCAGCCCAGCCTACGATAACCAGCAAAACTGTTGATCACCATAGAAGGACAAAACAACATATTCCATGACAAATCTAGATATCATCAATACCTAACCACAAACCCAGCCCTACACAAAATACTAGAAGAAAAAGTCCAACCCAAGGAAGATGGCTACACCAACAAATACCAGACAATTGATGATCTCATGACAGAAAATCCCGAAGAAGAAAAAAAATGCACAAATTAACATCACCAACGATGAAAACTAAATTAACAAGAGATAGCAACCACTGGTCATTAACATCCCTTAATGTAAATGGACTCAACTCACCCATAAAAAGGCACAGGCTAACAGATTGGATACGAAAACAGAATCCATCCCTCTTCTGCATACAAGAAACGTATCTCAACCTCAAAGACAGATATCGTCTCAGAGTAAAAGGTTGGGAAAAAATATACCAATCAAATGGACCTAAGAAACGAGCAGGTGTAGCTATCCTAATATCTAACAAAATAGACTTCAAGCTAAAATCAGTCAAAAGAGACAAAGAAGGACACTTCATATTAGTCACAGGAAAAATCCATCGAGAGGAAATTTCAATACTGAACATCTATGCCCCAAATACAAGGGCACCCTCATATGTCAAAGAAACACTTCTAAAGCTTAAATCATACATTAAACCCTACACACTAATAGTGGGAGACTTCAACATTCCCCTCTCACCACTGGACAGGTCAATCAGACAAGAAATGAACAAAGAAATAAGAGGACTAACAGGTGTTATGACTCAAATGGACTTAACAGACGTCTATAGAACATTCCATCCAAACAGAAAAGAATATACCTTCTTCTCAGCACCTCATGGAACCTTTGCAAAAATTGACCACATACTCAGTAACAAAACAAAACCAGACCAAGTTCAGCAAAGGAACAGGGACATCACAGAGGTCACAGAGCTGTAGGGAGCGGGGGACATGCTTCAGGTATGGGGGACCACTAACCTTGAGTATCACTCCAGCTGTCCGCACGGTAATTGTAAATGAAGACTTTCCTATTCACCACGAACAGTAGGATTGAACCAGGAGCAAAGAATGCGCTGGTAACCGATGGCAATCCTGTCTAAGAATAGAGACAGATGCTGTGACATGGAGTTACTCACACACAAAGCAAATTCTACATTTGTTTTGTTTTGTTTTGGTTTTGCGAGACAGGGTTTCTCTGTGTAGCCCAGGCTGTCCTGGAACTCGCTCTGTAGACCAGGCTGGCCTTGATCTTAGAGATCCACCTGCCTCTGCCTCCCAAGTGCTGGGATTAAAAGTGTGCACCACCACTGCCTGGTACAAATTCAACTTTTAAAAAGGTTCTCTATTTGTATTTATGTGTATCTGGCACGTGCCTTTGGGCATATCAGAAGCCAGAAGAGGGTGTCAGACCCCTGGAGCTGGAGTAGTGGTGGTTGTGAGCCACCTGTGGGTGCTGGGGATTGAGCCCAATGTTCTAACTACCAAGTTTCCTCTGATCTCCTATTCCGAGGTCATGTCTCACTAAACCTGGAGCTCTCTGTTTGGCTGGTGCTCAGAGCTCCAGGTCCCATCCTCTCTCTGCCTCTGCATACTCTGGTGTACCTTTGCACACCACACTTTTTTCTCTGTGTCCTCTGCACACCACGCTTCTCCGTGGACTCTGGTGGTTTGCAGACCACACTTCTCCGTGGACTCTGGTGGTTTGCAGACCACATTTCTCTGTGGATTCTGGGGGTTTGCAGACATGGCCTCACTTGCTCACAGAGCTGTCTCCTCAGTCAGTAACTCACTTGTTTGTTCCTCATTGGGAACTGGATCTGCAACTGGCCAGATGCTGAGTTAGGAAGGCAAAGCTGGGCTCTGCCAACCTGTGTGCCTCCTTTTCTCTCAGCAGGAACTCCCCTAAGAGACTGCAGAGAGACTCAGTGGTCAAGAGCACAAGCCACTCCTGCAGGTGGCAGAGATTGGGTTCTGAGCACCCACAGAGGCTCACAACCACCTTTTACTCCAGTTCCAGGGGATGCAGTGCACACCCTGGGTCTCCTTGAAGACAAGACATGCACGTACTGCACAGACAGACATGCAGACAAAACACTATATGCATAAAAGAAAAATAAACAAAATCTCAAATAAACATTTTTAAGGGAAGGAGAACAGAAAAAAGGAGGAAGGTTGAAAACTAGAAGGATGAGAGAAAAATAAGGGAAAGAAAAGGAGACAAGGGGGAAGGGAAGGAGAGGGGAGAGGAGAGCAGGTGGGGAAAGAGAAGGGGAGGGGAAGGGAAGGGAGTGGAGAGGAGGTGAGGTAGAGGAGGGGGAAGAGGAGGGTAGGGAAGGAGAGGGGAGAGGAGGGAAGGGTAGAATGAAATGATGGAATGAAAGCCCCCTCTTCTGGCTTCCTGTGACTCAACATCTCAGACGGTGTCCTGTAAAGGCCTAGCGGCTGACAGACCTAAAACCCACAGTTACCTCTGAGTTCAATTCCTTTGGAGTCACAGCTGGATAAGAGTCAACAGCCATTGTCACAGCTGGGGAAATGTCTACCGTCACTGTCACAGCTGGGGAAGTGTCTGCCGTCACTGTCACAGCTGGGGAAGTGTCTGCCGTCACTGTCACAGCTGGGGAATTGTCTTCCGTCACTGTCACAGCTGGGGAAGTGTCTGCCGTCACTGTCACAGCTGGGGAAGTGTCTGCCGTCACTGTCACAGTTGGGGAAGTGTCTGCCGTCACTGTCACAGCTGGGGAAGTGTTTACCGTTAAATGCCCTGGAATGGCAAGTGGCGGGAGGCTGCTCTCAAAGTTGTCCATGGTTATGAAAATTGTCGTCCTATGACCAACAAAAAGGTAGAGTCAGCTTCTCAGGCTGGACAAGCCTAAAACCATCTCCTATGTTCCCTGCCACCCCAGGGTCTTCCAGAATAATGTTTTACTGTGTCTGCCTAATTTTTTTTTCCAATTGCACAATAGCCACCAATGAAACAAGGCAGGTGTGGCATTGCACTGCCTGCTGTCTTAGCTCTTTGGAGACTAGGCCAGAGGATCAAGAGTTTCAGGCTAGCCTGGGCCACATGAGATCCAGTCCCGAAAAACTAGCAAACAGATAAACAAAGAAATAAACATGTTGGGGCTGGAGAGATGGCTCAGAGGTTAAGAGCATTGCCTGCTCTTCCAAAGGTCCTGAGTTCAATTCCCAGCAACCACATGGTGGCTCACAACCATCTGTAATGAGGTCTGGTGCCCTCTTCTGGCCTGCAGAATATTGTATACATAATAAATAAAAATAAAAAAAAAAAGAAATAAACATGTTAACAACCAGTGACCAGCAGTGGTGGTGCACCCTGCAATCCACTCTGGCACTCTGGAGGCTGAGGCCTGTGGGTGCTGCAGGCTTGAGGGATTCCTGGGAAGCCAAATCAAAGTCTGTCTACAAAAAAAGAACATGGTGCTGGGTGAGGTGCCGCACGCCTTTAGTCCCAGAATTCGTAAGGCAGAGGCAGGCGGATCTCTGTGAGTTCGAGGCCAGCCTGGTCTGCAGAGTGAGTTGTAGCACAGCCAGGGCTA